GGGGGAGGGACAGGAGTAGCGAAGAGAAGAATATGATTGAGGTGTGAAGAGGAGGAGGAGGAGGAAGGCGCTGACAATAACTCAATCAGGAGGCGTGCGGTTTGCCGCTTCAGTGAGTGCCGCCGCCCCGCTGTTTCGGTGGGGGACAGAGATAGAAAGGGGGGGGGGGGTACGTGGGAGAGAGCGCGCGCTACAGCAGCGGGGGGAGGAGAGAAGAGGTTTGGTGCCGACGAGGAGGGACTCGCGGACTCACACGCACGGAGCCCGTAATATTTCGAATCGTGCGCGGAGAGATCGTCGACCTGCTGCTCTATGGGCAGTGCTGCTGCTGCTGGGCTTGAACCCTCTCAGTGGGGCGCTGCAGGGGGGGCTGACAATCCAACACCCAGCGAGCAGCAGCAGCAGCGCGCACATTTTAAATTCAAATGGCACGCTGTCACTACAAACAAGTGCGCAGTGGGGCGGGGCCGATGCACGGACCGATAAACACCACACACACACACACTCGGGCCGCCCCGGCAGAAAGGCAGAGCCACCGCGCCGTCCGCAATCTGTCGTCGCATCAAGTAGTAAAGTTCACTTTTTTATTCATTTAAGCACGCCCGATATGAATCGCGCACGCGCGGCGCGCAGAATGCGGCGGCGGCGGCGGCGGCGGCGGCGTGGCGGTGACAGCCGGGGAGCAGCGCCGCCGCCGGGCGCCTCGGTAGGTAGGCGACCCGAACGCACGCGTGCGACGGGGAGCGACCGGCTGCCTAACTGTCGGGCGCTCGCGGGCGCGGGCGGGCTGGCCGCCGTTGTAGCGCCGGATCCCGACCTTTTAGCTCGCCGTCCTCGTCGTGCCGCGCGGCGCGGGGGTATCCAGCACACATGTCCCGCCCGTGCCGCCGGCCACCATACCGCACCGGTAACAGAGGGGGTCAAGCAGCCCATCGGGCGCGGCGATCCTCTGCGGCGTTCCACCGCGCCCCGCCCCGCGTGTCAGCCAGAGCCAGTGCAGCGCCCGCGGGGCCCGCGGGGCCGCGGCGGACCTTCCAACGTTGTCCGGAACAAGCACACGTGATGCTGTGCAGTGCAGTGTTTGCCCAAAGCGACGGCGCGCACTCACCGGGCACTTAGCGCCAAAGCACACACAGCACACACACGCACGCCAACGGGCGCAGCGCAACGGGCGCAGCCCAACGGGACTCATGCAGGACCAGACAAGTATTTGGCCCAGTGCGGCGGCAGCGGCGTCAGTCTGCCCCTTCCCCCAGATATTTCGCACCGCGACAGAAAAGACGTCGCACGACGTCAAGAAAAGTAAGGCAAGCCGCCTGTCGTTGCGGGGCTTGCTTGCGGTGGTGGCGTGCGAGTGTGGCCGCTCGCCTGTCGTCCGCTACTGGATGTGGCGTAGCGGTGCGCGGTGGGGCGGGGCGGGGCGCGGACCGCCTCCCAGCCCCGAGGGCGTTCTATTTCGATTCGGAAGTGGTAATCAAGAGCACATCGGACGTCCATTAGAGCGAATGAATGAAGCACTGGCTGGCTCCTGGCGGGTGCGCCGGCGGCGGCGGCGGCGTCGGCAGGCTGCTGCGCCCGCTCTCGCTTTCACTTAAGTCCTGCGGTCAGAGGGCCCCGGCCCAGAGGGCCCCCCGAGCGGCCCCGCTACCGTGGACGTGTCGGTAGGTGATGGATGGCGCTGCAGGGAGGAGCCGCGGGGGCCGGAGCCGGGCCGGAGCCGGGCCGGAGCCGGGCCGGAGCTGGGCCGGAGCCGGGCCGGAGCCGGGCCGGAGCCGGGCCGGAGCCGGGCGGAGCCGGGGCACTGGGGCGCGGGGCGCGCGGGGTGTTTCCGGCGCGCTGCTTTCAACGCGGCCAAAGAAATGACGCCGCGCCGCGACCCGCCCGGGTGAAAGAGGGAGAGGTGCGACCGGTGGTGGGTGGTGGTTTCTTTCTCGGTGCCGCGCCCGCCCGCCCGAGGGCTTGACCGCACCAGGCGGAGGAGGTGGACGTGTGGTCCCCGCGCGGGCCCCTGAGCTGGCGGTGCGGCCGCGGCGACCGGGAGCAGGAGCAATACCAGGAGCTGCCCGCTGCACCGCTGGCGGCCTCCGCGCCCGGTCCGCGCGGCCCGCGCCTGCCTCCCCCCTTCTCATTGCCCATCTCCTTCGCTCCGCGTGTTTCTTGTGTCTCTCTGCCTCTCTTCCTTCCTCTCTCTCTCTCTCTCCCTCTCGCCGCAGTCGGCCGATGGTCGATACCGGGCGGCACCGTTAGCGTGTACCTGCGGGTACCCGGTGTATACCCGGACAATGCACGTACACGAGGTGGACGTACGTAATGTTGTTGCACTCACACACACACACACACGAATGCGCGCGCGCTCTGTCGTACTCACACAAAAAGTGCGGCATCCGTCCGTCGCGCGCGCGCGCACACACATACACACGGCCCTTGTCCGGGCAGCTCCGATCGGCTGATCCACATCGCACCATTGACATCTCGCCTTGCTCGGACTCGGACCGCGGCGGCGCGGAGCGCGGAGCTTGGCGTGGAGTGGAGTGACGTGCCGCGGGCCCGCGGTCCGTGGCGCACTAGCGGGGCGGCGAGCGGCCGCGGGGTCGCGGCAATGTTGAACTTCGCGAGGTAGAGGAGGAAGTTACAAACTGAGGGAAAATCGTCGAGTCATCTGCAGCGAGCTGCTCGGCGGCGTATGTCCTCCTACAACCACCTGGACCCCAGGACCTCCCTCGACCTCCGAGCACCCCTCGGTTTCACCCGGATTGAACCCCAAACCATCATCGCCTTACCATCCCCATCAAGGAGGAACGCAAGGGGAGGCGCTCAAGTCAGTAGGCGCTGTGGGAAGCGAGCGCAAACATGTGATGTGGGCGCGGAAGGCGAGGGAATAGGCGCTCTGGGCGGAGCAGCAGCGGTGGAGAGAGCCTCGGCCAGGGCCCAGCGCCACCGCCTACCTCGCCGTCGTGACGAGCTCCGCCCGCTCCGCCACGCCCGCCCGGTGCGTGTGGGAGTGTGCGGGGCGGGTCAGATGCGTGAAATACCACCGCGCGACGCGGCCGCGGCACATACCGGCCATCTAGCGCCATCTATAGCGCCATCTAGCGCCGGGGAGGCGGGCCCGGGCCGGGCGCGAGGGTACTTATCCACCACAGTTCTAGCCACTTGCCGGGCCGTCCATCTTCAGTCTGAGAGAGCAAAAGAGGACCGTGTCGGAGTGCAACGCCCCGCAGGCGTTTACCCGCACGCGAGCAAGCTCCCCCCC